CCACTCAGCCAGACACCTGCACAGTTACACATTGGCCAGAGCAGGTCCATGAGGCCAGAGTCCTACTTGGCCCTGGTTTTAATCCAAGACTAACCCTCTCAGCCTCTGGCCTAAGTTTCTCAGTGGCAAGATGCAAAAAAGTCAACAACCTTTTGTGTTTTTATAGCCGTAAGGCCTCATCACTCCACCCCTTTTTCCATGTGTTCCATCAGCACAGCCCCAACACCTAACCCAGAGCTCTCCTAGTGGCTAGGGCAGTCCCCCTGAAGCATTTGGGGTGCAGTGTCACCCTAGTGTGTGGTTTAAAATAGTTCATCCCCTAGGACTTTAGACCAAAATACGTGACTTCTACTTTCTTTTAAAATAGTGTATTGACTAAGCTCATGCTGTTGATGTCAAAAAGCCAGGGATCAAATCCAAGCTCTGTCAGTTACTAGCAGTGTGACCTTGAGTAAGTTATTTAAGATCTGTGAGTCCCAATTTATTCCTTACAAAACAAAGGCAATTATAGCAATCTCAGGGGATTTTTGTCAGCATGAAAAAGAGATAATATACAGCCAGACTTAATGTAAAAGCTCTCTAGGGTAGTGGTTTTCATTATCAGCAGAATGTTTAAAGCATTCTCTTTCGGGCATTGAAGACATCTGTCTGCTTCAATACTAACTAGTTATCTGACCTTGAACAATTTATTAGGCTTTCCAAGTCTCAGTTTTATCATCTATAAAATGGGGTTGCTAGCCCCTCTCTTGAACAGTGTTGTAAAGATTAAATAAGATTGAGTAACAAACGATGCAGCAGTCAGACTCTGAATAACAAGACATGATTAGATCCACGTATGTCTAGAATGCAGGTGTTTATATTTGTTTGCTCAGGGCTTCCATAGCATAATGCCACAGACTAGGTGATTTAAACATCATAAAGTTGTTCTCTCTCAGTTTTGGGGGTTGGAAGTTCAACATCAAGGCATCAGCAGCAATGGTTTTTCCTGGGCCTCTCCCCATGGTTTGCAAACAGCTGACTTCTCGTGTGACTTTGCAAGACCTTTCCTCTGTGTGTTTATTCCTGGTCTCTCTCCTTCTTCTTCTAAGGAAACAAGGGGCATTGGGTCAGGGTCCAATCATTTTGAATTGCATAGATTACCGTCTTAAAGGTCCAATCTCCAAATATAGTCATATTGGGCATTGAAGCCCAGTTGGGGGTTAGGCCTTCAATCTATAGATGTTAGGGGCACACAACTCAAGATCAGAAATCAGGCTGTAATAGATTAAGTAGTGAGCAGAATTAGGACATGGGCACAATAAATATAGCCAATAATTCTGAGACTTTTGATAACACAATAGCAAAGAGAGTTTGCCATTATATTAATCATTGTTATGTCTGTTAGTTTGGAGTAAGGCATAGTACAGAGAACATAAGTTTTAGCTTCAAAGACGTGGATATACCTCCTGTCTCTGTATTACCTCCTGTGTGACATCTGGCCACTTATTTGTCCACCCCTGTAAGACTTGGTGTCCACAAAGATGAAAAATGAATAAATGCTCATTGTGTAATTATAGTGAGAATTAGAACTATTTCAGTACAGCATCTACCTTGTCTCCTGCCCTATAATAGGGGCTTGATGCATCTCAGGCATGTATTAAAATCCCTCCAAATGCAAGCTCTTCCATAGCAGCTGAGTCACTCACATCATGAATTCCCGAGTCTTCCGTGCAATCATGCTGTGCTTTCTACAGTTCATCTCCAGGAATCAGAGTCTTGATTGGGTTAGGCGGTGTTGCTTTTTTCGCTTATCATAGGGTGGTGATTGCTGATGATTTCAGGTATGTTTTTAGAGCCTGTCAGTCTCCTAGAAATAGAAGCAGCCCTTTGGCAGATAGGAGTCATTAAGGGGTAAGGTACCAGTAGCTGGGAAAATAAGAGTCCGCAGGCAGACATGTCAAGTGAGTGCTTTGAATATTGCCTGTGGCGATCATTCTATCACACACACTTATTCCAGTAACACTGACCCTCTGGCCCCAGGTCTTTTGTCTCAGTCTCAGCAACTGCAAGTCCAGGGCAGCTGGAGGAAAAGACCAAGTTGGCAGTGCAATTCACACCACTGTGTGGTTACAAAGGCTGAGAAGTTAATGTGCTGTTTTGTTTCTTTCCAGAGGAAGGGCCACTGGGTCGAGAGGAGGTTATGTGACGATTGGAAGGCTGCTCAGAAAATATGATTAAAATTTCCTTTCCTTTTGCCTATGCTGTATTTCTCGGAACCATGCATAGAAAACACTGGGATGTGAGAGGAGACACGAGGTCGACCAGTAGTCCTCAAACCTTTGGTTTGAGCAATAATTTCCTATAGGGAAACTAATATACAAGGGGCTCCAGAGGAATGGAAACTTTCACTATGACATCATTTGTTTATTGATTCATTGACTGAAAAATTATTGAGCAGCTATCAGTATCTGATGCCATGTGAGGGCCAATGAATAGGCTGATGTGTAAGACCTTGCTCCTGTTGTCACAAACGCACAGTAGAGAAGACAAGCCAAAGCAGATTATCATGTTCTGTTTTACATGTTGCATGAGAGGGAGGGGGGCTGTGAGAATGCTGGCCATGGAGCCATCGGTTCTGTATGGTATAGCAGCATGGAGAGAAGAGGCAGTGATATTTGAATCGGAGGAGAAAAAAGATATTTCACCTAGTGGAAAAGGGAAAGTAAGACATTTTGAGCTGAGGACATTGTTCAGAAGTTGCTGATATCAGCACACTTGAAAAATCAGAGCTTTACCATTTGTTGTTGTCTATTCACATCAGGTCTGTTCCTTGACATTTGTTTTCTGCAGTGTCCACTACATAACTACAACACAGTGCAGTTCACTGCCTCAATTGCAACCCTTGCAGGTGCCATCTTTCTTCAGCATCTCTTGACCAGGACCCACTGAATGGGGTCAACATATTCCTTGCAATGAAGGAAGAAGAAATTTGAAGGAGCTCCATTTTGACTTTTTCAACCTATGAAATCCAGTCTGGCATCGATCTGTTAAAGTCTAGCCACTTTTTTCCAGCTACTTTTAGCTCTTTCTACTTTCTTTAGGTGTATGCACCCACTTCCTTTCTCATCATTTTTATCCTTGTCAACTCAGAGTTTATTCTTGGCCTCCCCATCATATTATGTCCCTTTTATTTTTCTTAGCCATCCATCACTATTCTGTAGATTTTTCCATATTACTTTTCCAAAATAAATTATTATTATATGAAAAGTACAAGACGGATGTTTCCCTTTATCCTCCTCTAACTTGCTTGGACAAACACAACCATTCCAGTTATTTGCCTTATCACTATTCTTTGTCTTTTACAAATTCCCTCAGGCCCATGATTGGGACATGACAAAATTATCATTCCACTGACCTTCCTTTCCCTCCTAAGTGACTGCTCTGGCCCCTCATAGCACTCAGTGAGACATGGCAAGAAGTAGATTCAGATATTAATGAGAGGCAGCATTAATAAGTTTCAAAAACAATGTTTTTAGTCAAAATGCCCATATTTCCTGCTAAGGTAAGACAGGTTGAGTGGACAAGGAGCTCAGGGAACAGAGGTGATAGGAGAAGCTATTCTCCTGAGTCTCCCCTCTCTGAGGTAGAATCTGGAGCCAAGAGGAGAGAATAGAAATGAAGGAGGCCATGGCATCAGGACTGGGCCTGGCCGTTTCTCTTGCCAATGAGTTCCTTAGCTGGGGGCCTCCCCAGTGGCACAGCTGTTGAGTGCTGGGTAGCGAAGCTGCCCGCAGCCTCTGCAGCACCAGTACGATCCCTGGCCACTGGGTGAGGGTCCCACATGGCGCGCAGATCTCTCCTGCCACCCGCTGCTCCCCTCAGCAGTGTACTTCGTCACTCTACCTGCTCTGCTCTTCACTCTGGCTCTGGTGAATTCTCTTACCTTCCCGTGCTTCTGACTGTACCCAGTGCTTGTATAAATAAATAAATAAATAAATAAATAAATAAATAAATAAATCTTTAAAAAAAAAATTAGTTCCTTAGCTGAACTCTCAGCTGAAGAGTTCCTTAAGCCTCCATTAGGCCGCACTGCAAAGAAGCTGAGGTTAAGTAAGGATACTGCACTTTGAGACCCTCCAGTACTCTGATCCTAATGTATCCAGATGCCTCCCAATTCATGTAGTTCAACATGACCCTAGAGCATCTGTGCAGATGTGACCCAAGCTTACTCGTACAGAGGAAAGGGTTCTATAGACAAATGTCTTGGAGTCAGCTTGGTTAGGCAAAGATAAATAGAATTCTTTGCTGCAGATCCTCTCAAAACTTATATACCAGTGTTTTGTTCCCAGACTATGCTAACAATTATGTCACTTTCCAAGTTTCTATGGACACAAAATTCTCATTCAGAGCTTCTTTGAAAAATTATGGTATAATTTGTAATACTGCTAGGTGCAGTATTTTAGAATTCATCTGTAGTGATGAACCCCCTTGGCTGCAAGTAAGGTCAAGCCATTACGTCCCCAAGACCCCTGCCTTGTTGGGGTGCACCTATGACAAACAAGCAACTGGTACTCATGCCAGCACCCACTCTGAGTACCTTATTTGTAGCAAAGGGAAAATATTCGATAACACAGAGAGTCTTTGCAGAGTTCTTTCTCGTAGTTGGATGATACACAGGGTGATATCGATTGTCATGAAATGAAAATTCCTTTTTTATAACCACACTTGGTATGTGCACATTATTCCAGTTTTTAAGACTGAAATTGTTTTAAAAAACTACAAATGCTAGATTTGTAGTAACTAGTGACCAGAATATGTGAAAAAAATATTATGTAGAATTGTCTTAGCTTAATACTATAAACTGGGAAATGTAAAGGCCATGACTACCAACCGGTGCAAGAAACCTTCCTCTGGAAAACTCACAGTCATCCAGTAACCATGTCTTTCTGTGTTGCTGTGTATGAGTATTGGGGAGCAGTGGCTATTCTTTAAGCTGTATTTTTTGTGGTTTTTCTCTGCAGATAGCGTGGAAGATGAACTGGAGATGGCCACCGTCAGGCACCGGCCTGAGGCTCTTGAACTTCTGGAAGCCCAGAGCAAATTTACCAAGAAGGAGCTGCAGATACTTTACAGAGGATTTAAGAATGTAAGATCTTTCTTTTCAACTTTGCATCCACATAGTTCTCAGAGAAGCACTAATACTCTTCTCTGAGAACTCTACCAAATGTACATTTCACACTGATCTTGCCTAGGTGAGAATATGTTAATAACCATTTGGACTTTGATTCACTTTGGCTCAGCAATTTTCATACAATGTAGTGGCAGCTTTGACAAGGACAAGCACGGAGAAGGCTTGACTCAACTCAATCCTTAGTTGGGAAGCATTTTCTTTTTCAGTTATAATGACAGCATTTGAATGAGTTTCAGGTAAGGTGTTTTTTTCATTTTCAAACAGTATAGTCTATAGTGCTTGACTTGAATCTCAGTTATGAATTGGGCTCTATCAAGGAATTCCGGTCCTAGCATTACAGAAAAGTCTGTGAGTTTATAGTCCTTATAAGAGCAAGCTGTCAATGCCTTATCACCACAGACATCTTTAAGTAGTTCCTGTATCTAGTTCTCTCATCCTCACTCCTGAGTGAATCATCATGAAAAGGTGGGGTAACCCATGCATGCCAGAGAGTGTGGGAGAAAGGCCATGTGCGGTGGTCTGGGCAATTTGTCACACACACTCTCTTCCTGAATACTTGGTATGGACTAAGCCAAATACTGCAGTTTATCCCAAGACAGAGAAGATATGCTTCTGTTCCCAAGGAGCTTATGGTCAGAATATAGAAAGGTTTGTAGTAATGAATGTATTCAAAAGCAATTCATCCTTAAAACTATCAAATGCTTCTTGCAAATGTACATACAACCCATTGTGCATTGTGCTCTGGTATACATGTAAATCTTAGGAGCTATATAAGTGCCCCTTGGGACATAGATTAAATTACTTTGATCCCTCAACACACTTACCCCCCTAGGCCCTCAACTCCATGGCCTAGAGTGTCCAAAAATGCTGCTAATTCTAGCACCTCCAAATATGATCACCTCAAAGAGGACCCATGTCTAACCTCATGGAGATCAGGTCAAAAGCTTTGTCTCTTCTGTTGTATCCACAGAGCATTTGTAATGCTAGCTGACTTTTCAGAATATATTTCTAGGAATCCAGTGTACATTTTTGCATGCTAACTTCTACCATCTCTTTAAATCCATGGGGTCTCTCTCTGTATCATTTCTGTTCCTCTCCACTCTTCTTGATTGGGCTTTCTAAATCCCCCCCCCCCCCATTGCACCTCTGAAATGCAGCCCTCTGCTAACCCCCTGGGTGGGGTGAGTAGCTTGGGTGGAGAATAGGGAAAATATGAAAATGGGAACTCACCCCACACAGACTGGACTCTGATTAAAAGGAAACTGGATATAGAGTCTATCAAGATGACACATACAAATAAACATCCATCAAAGAAAAGGGACATTGAAAATTAGGCTAAAGGATTATTAGCTATGTCTGTGCTGCAAGAATCTACAGGTTGCAAGGATTGCAAGCACTTCCAATGAAGCAGCGACACAGACCGCTGGCCACAGAAAACCACTGAGCAACCAGGATGGGGAAGGAGAGGAACTGAAAATGGAAAATCCCAGTCTTTACAGAAAATAAATGCTAAGGGAAAGCTAATCACAGACTGGAAACAAGTGCATTCCTGCTATCATCTAAACTACTTTGCTCTAATTCAGAGATCTTGTAATAAGCAAACTTTTTTTTCTCTGTAACATTGGATTGTTCCATCAGGAACAAAACGGTTGTTGAATATAAAAGAACTTAAGCCAACCTCTCAGCGTCCCTGTGTTCCTGGGCTGCTGGTACATTATTACTGTAGGTCTCTCCATTTGGAGGCCAACTACCTTTCATCCCATTTGTGGCAAATTGGAATCCTGATTACCGCCATCATTAACCTTGGGAGCCAGCATCTCTGCAGCATGTCTCCTACAAGTGGCACTTCACAGAAATTGCCCAGCTCCTGTCTGTATTCAGTGCTTTCCTTTATTTTTTTCCTCCGTGTCCTCTTTTCTTTCTTTACTCCCATAAACCCACTTTTTCTAACCTCTTTCCTTTTCCAACCCTCGGATCTCTTCTCTATTTCTTCATTCCTCACCTTTCTTTTTTTAGCCTCCTTTGTCTCTTCTCTTGTCCATTCTTGCCTCTTACTTTCAAGTCTTCCTCTCCTCCCTTTTTATTATTTTCTCTGTCATTCTCTCCCCTTCATCCTTATCTGGCTGCATAAGATAAATCCCCGTCAGACCTGAGTGTGCCCAGAGTGGCCGTGGCCTTTTTATTTTGAGTTTAGATCCCATAGTTAATTGTGCAACCCAAATAGATGTGCCCAAATGTGTAGCAAGAGAGGCAGGACAGCAGGACAGCCACTTTCAGGGTTTACCAGGCCATCAACCAACTGAGCATCAGAGAAAGCAAACCAACTACCAACTAAGCAAACCTCCAGTTACCTGAATAGCAGCTATCTCAAACCTTGAAGAGCCAAAAATCATTCTACAGGAACCGATTGGCATATTCATTTTTAAGAAAGCATTTAAAACTTTCCATATTCTGATTCAAAGGGTCAACTACTCATCAACACCTTCAAACAGTTGTACTTATATGAAATTGGCTCAACATGGTAATGCACCCCTACAGCTACACATGACCAGAGTCTCCCAGTCATACCAGGGTACTAATGTAGTGCCCTGGGGGGTGGGAGAGAGAGGAGATACTGAGAAAGAATTTCTCAGCCACTCACCCTGTCATCTCTACTGACTCACCTCCATGTGTTTATTTCTCTTACCACACACTGAATTGAGTTTCCAAATGTAGGCAGCCGATAGAACTGGAGAATATGTGTAGTATAGTGTTTTTCAACCCTTGGTGTGCCTTGGGATCACCTGTTAAAGCACAGATCTCAGGGTCACAGTCTGAAACATTATGATGTAATTGGTACCAAATTGGTGTGGAAAGTTCATAAGTTCCCAGGTGATGTTGATATTGCTGGTCTGGGAGTGACACTTTGAGACCCTCTGGTCTAGTGCAGACATTGGCAGCTCTGGCGCCATCACACTGGAGTTCATAGCTTCGGTGATAAGGCACATCCCTCTGAGTGAATCGCCTCTGTGCCCTTGACTCTACACGCTGGGATAATGACACCCACAGCGAACAGATTTGTTTTTGTTTCCCAACCACCATCCCTTACATCTCCTTGTCCCTTCCCCACCCCCACATGCCTCTTAAACCCAGACTCCTGAGGACGTTTATTAATATCCACTAGTTTTTTTAAGTGTTCTACATTATCAAATTATCTGCTCCATAAATACCTGGTATTTGTTATTATCATTCTGATTTACTTTGTTACACAAAATTCTTTCAAACTTCTCCCATTGTTGGTGAATGTGACAGCATTCATTCATTCTCATGGTTATATAATGCTCCATGGTGTGGATATACCACATCTTCATGATCCAATCTTCAGTGGATGGGCATTTAGCCTGCTTCTACGTCCGAGCTGTTATAAATAATGCTGTTGTGAATATTGGTGAGCATGTAGAGTCTTTTTTGTAGATGGTTTCATATTCTGTGGGTGTATGTCCAAGAATGAGCTTGCTGGCTCATACAGTATTTCCATATTTTGTTTTGTAAGGCAACTCCAGATTGTTTCCATAATGCTTACACAAGTTCACATTCCCACTGACAGTGTAAGCAGGTTCCTTTTCACTGCATCCACTCCAATACTTGTAGGGAGTCTTTTCAAATTGTGCCATTTTCTCTGGTGTGAGGTAGTTTTTCATTGTAGTTATAATCTTCATTTCTGTTATTAGAAGTGACAACATTTTTCATGTCTTTTGACCTTCTGGAGATCCTTTTCGGTGAATTGTCTGTTCATCTCTGTTGCCCCTTTATTAATTGAGTTATTTGTTTTTTTATTGCTGAGCCACATTTTTTTGCTGTATCTTGGATATAAATCCCTTATCATTTATATATTGTGTGGATATTTTCTCCCATTCCGTAGGTGTCTGTTTAATAATGTATTTTCTTTTGCTATATAAAAGCTTTTAAACATGAGTCAATAGCATGTTTATATTTTCTTTTCCTTTTTTAAGTAAGATTAAAAAAAAAACATGAAGTTCAACAAGAAGAAATTTTTAGGTTGTGACCTCCCAAAGAGTCAAGCTCAGTTTTGTGTCCCAACAAATGGGAGTGTCTCAGTTGGCCAACATGCCTCCCACACAGTGTTCTTGATATTGAGCTACATAATTATGGATTAGAAAGGATGCAGGAATGATACAAGGTAGTGTCTGCATATCAATAGCCTAAACTCAGCTACAAAGTACAGTCCTATGGGGGATTTTAAAAACAACAAATAGTTGGGTACCATGCTTGGCACTGTTGATGTGATTGCTCTAGAAGAAATTTGAGCATGAGGATTTGTAAAGTTCTCCATGAACATATACTAAAAGAACCATTAGAATTGAGAACCATTGAGCTGGGTGTCTAAGATCTTAATGGTAAGGTGCCTTTATCACGGGGAGAACTGTTAATTGTGATGAACCCTATAATGTCAGAAACCAATGATTATATCATCTAATAGGAAGCTTATGATATTCTTGGTGGGTGGTATATGTGTATTGGAAAGGGAGTGGGCAGTAATGAGCCTTATTGCTGATAATTCTTATTCAGTTAAATCTGGGGTGATGCTCAAAAATCCTTTTTTTAAACTCCTCACTTTAACAGACCACTGACAAGCAACATTTTACAACCACTCACGTGGGAGGTCACTCAAGTATCTATATACATGACTCATTAACTTATTTTGCCATTATCTTTTAAAATTGAAGATAACTTCAGTTCAATTCTAGATTATCATGAACTTACTGGGCATTAAGTTTTTATGTAGCTATGCCTCTTTGTCATTTTTCTCTCTTTAATTAATAATTTAAAGCATATTCTTCCAGTTTTTAATACACAGGATGAGAGATAGTTGCAAGTAGCTAGACCTGTATGTTTTGGACATCTTTTCTGTCCCAAGCCTTTTCTTGCTTCCTTTATTCATTAATTTCAATAAT